TTTTTCTTTCCTAGTTTATAGAGTTCTTCTCTTGTTTATATTGTTACCTTCTTTTTGCTTATTTTAATTTGCACTCCTTTTTCTACTTTCTTCTTTTTCCCTAATATAAGCTATTAATGCTATAGATTTCCATTTAAGAAACTATTTTAACTGCAGTCTACAGATTTTGATATTCTGCATTTTTCTCTTCTTAAGTTCAAACTGTTACCTAATTTCTTCTGTGATATTTTTCTTTAACCCATGATTCATTTAGAACTGTGTTCTTTAACTTCTGCTTATTTGATGGTTTTCTGTGTGTATTTCCTTTATTGATTTGTAGCTTAATTTCACTGTGGTCAGAGATCATACCTCGTATGATTTCAGGCCTCTTAAATTTATTGAACCTTGCTTGTTTTCTGGCACCAGGATGTGGAAATCTTGGTGATTGTTTAGTGCGTGCACTGACAAAGAGTATGCATTCGCTGTTGGTGTTGGCGTATTCTCTAAGAGCAATCAGGTCAAGTTGGTTGATAGTGTTTCATAAATATTTTTATGGATTTTCCTAGTATACTTAAGAGAGGAGTTGTTGATATCTCTCACTGTAATTGTGTATTTGTCTATTTCTCCTTTTAGTTCTATCAGTTTTTGCTTCAGATATTTTGAAACACTGTTAATAGTTTGATAAACATTTTAGAATTGTCTTGACACCTGTGTGAATTGTTTCCTTTATCATTATGAAATGCCTCTTTATTTATTTCCGATAATATTCTTTGTTCCCAAGTCTATTTGGTATATTAATATAGCCACTTCAGATGTATTTTGTTAAGTATTTTTACAGTATATACTTTTTCGTACTTTTATTTGTAGCCTAACCTCCTTTTTTTTTATTTAATTTTTTAAGTTAGCTTCTTGAGATAGCATATGGTTGAGTTTGCTTTCCATTCTAGTTTGACTATCTGCCTTTCAGTTGAAGTATTAGATGGAATATTTTATTTAAAGTAATTGTGTGATTGGCTTTAAATTTACCACCTTGCTCTTTATTTACCAGTTTTTTAATTTTCTTCTGGGCTCTCTGTGTTTACTATTTGGTAGAATTGCTTTGTTTTTGTGGATGAAGGTCGTAGATTTTATTTCTCCCTCCCATGCAAGCATGTGGAGTAAATTGTCCCCCTGGAACTGTTCTTTGCCTCTATAATTTTATGAAGCCTCTTCCCCTTTTTTATGATCAGAGGGAAGTGGGTATGTTATATAACCACCCAACCGACCAGTCAGTTGTCTTCAAGTACATTGTAACTCATGGTGACCCCATGAATCTAGGCTGGATCTATTCTTTAGAAATAAATCACTGGATATCACCCTGTAGAAATTATTTTATTCCTTTCTCTTTATTTTCTCTCTTAGGAATTAGAAATTAAGAAGATGGCCAAGATTGGTAATAAAGAAGCTTGCAGGGTTTTAGCCAAACAGCTTGTTCATTTGCGGAAACAGAAAACAAGAACCTTTGCTGTAAGTTCGAAAGTCACTTCTATGTCCACACAAACAAAGGTGATGAATTCTCAGATGAAGATGGCTGGAGCAATGTCTACTACAGCAAAAGTAAGTAGTAGCCTTTCTTTCCATAGATTTATAGTTCTTACCTAAGATATTTAAGTATTGATCTTTAAATCAAATTTAAAACACCTCCTATTATATATATATATATGGCACCCAATCTATGTAATTTTTAGTAAAATGAATGACAATACTAGATAACCCAGGTACTTCTTTCTTTCTTTCTTCTTTTTTCTTGTTTTAGAACATTTTCATTTTCCCAAGATTACATATAGCTTCTAAATTCATAAAACTGTCTTAATATAGGGTTTACTTTTTTCTCTTAAATTATCAGAAGATTTTTGAGCTTATTTCATTAAGCTATGAATTCTGACTACTTTTGAGTAATAATTTCCTCTTGATTCATTTTCATATGAATACTATCAGAAGGATTTATCAGTTCATGTTTATTAAGAACTTTTATTTACATAAATAATGTTTTTACTGTAGAGTCAAAGGACTACGAGTCTTTCAATCATATAATAAAAAATTAGCTACTTGTTAGATATCAAGCACTGGGAAGAACTGAAAGACATTTAAGACAAAGGCC